TACGAGTAAAGTGCATTTATTTAATGTACTATCTTGACAATTATGTTTTTTGACACAGAATAAATAAATAAACAAGAAACATTGTCTGCTTGTTAAGAGGATTAACTTCGAATGGGCTTTTATTAAAGTGTCTGAATCTTTCAAAACTACTAATTCAAGATCATGATTTTTTTAAATTTTCGTGAGTGAGGATGTGGGTGTGGGTGTCAAACGTCTCTTTACTCACACCCACACCTACACCCATCTCTTCCTCACGAAAAGAGCTTTCAAAAAAATGAGTAATGGACACTTTCTGATAATTATCATAAGATGGAATTTTCATCTGGAGGAACATATACATTCGGTTCGGGAAATAAATTTTCTACAATGCGCTCAAATGCAAGCACGCATCATGGTTGGTAGTGAATGTAAACTCATGTTTAGGTGGAAAGTGGCACTATAAGAGTACATCTCCTTTCTTTTTTTTATCGATGTGTCAGTGTTTTTTTCCTTTATGTACGTATCATGTAACATCTATCGTATTTCTTTTTGCTTTTACTTTCTCGCTGTGATGGCATAAAGGAAGAAGTAAGAGAAGTCCCACTATGACTAACTTCCTCATTTTAGCCTTGAAGATAGGAAGATAAGTGATAGTAGATTGTGTATATAAAGAAGTCAATAAACATTACAAATTATTACTTCAAGTTACATTCAAAATGAATCAAAAGTTATTTTACGTACTCTTAGCAATGATTGGCATCAGTAGCGCCTTACCTATTGGACAAGAACACGATGATACCTATGATTTGTCTTCAAATGACTACATACCAGCAGAAAATCTAGAACATAGTGAAGAAGATTTCCATCGTACCAAGCGACAAGCCGATGTAGGCAGCTTTTTTCTCTAGAGAGTATGCATCACATTTTTACTATTAATGATTTGTATTTTAGCACTTTAAATACCACAACAAAATCAATTCAGATCCTCAAGTAATGTTACTTTTTATACTGTTTAAATTTATAAGATCTCTCCTTTTTCATAGACATTCTTCAATGCAGCTGGCGGAGGAAATTTTCATAACAGACACAATTGGGATGGCAATATAGCAGTTTCAGCTGGTGCTAAAGTATGGGAAAGTGCGAATCAGCGACACTCATTCGGAATTAACGGAGGCTATGCTCAAGGAGCAGGGAGTTATCAGGTAAAAAGAAAAGAATTCTCTACCTCTTTTATTTACTTAGTAAATGCAATTTTAATTTGAGGGTCATCGCTACCAAAGCCCACCGCATTGGAACGTTGGTACTAGCTACATTTACAGATTTCCAGGATAACTTTTTTTGATTTATTCTATGTATAACTCCGAATCATATCCATTTTTCCAATAAAATTCCAATTTTTTCAACATTAAAGTATAAAATAACTGTGCATATAGTTTATCTATTCAGAGAAACTTATTCTGATGAACTCTTAGCGGTCTAACAAAGTATCTTTTTTTCAATAATTTGCAGTCGAAAGATAATTGTTCATTAATATTTTCAAAGGCTTAATGTGACAATAACGGATAATTTTGAAATTAAAAATAAAAATGGAAACTTTGTTCAGTGTGATCGAATAACTTCATCGAGTTTGCTTGTAATTTATGAGAAATTCGCTAATAGATATTAGTCTTAAGTAGGGGTGGGAAGTTACCGTTACCGTTCCCGGGTAACGGTAACGGGGCAGTTACCAGTTACCCGGGTAACTGGTAACGGGACAGTTACCAGTTACTTTTCAGGGTAACTTCTTTAAAACGACGAATTATGACTTCTTATGATCGAATTTTGTGAAAAAATTAATTTTTGAATTTCGGAGTTACCCGGGTAACTGGTAACGGGAAACCAGTTACCAGTTACCGGGTAACTCCGGAATTCAAAAATTAATCTATCGACGAAATTCGATCATAGCAAGTCATAATTCGTCGTTTTAAAGAAGTTACCCGGAAAAAGTAACTGGTAACGGGGCAGTTACCAGTTACCCGGGAACTGGTAACTTTTCCCGTAGCAACCGTTACCGTTACCGTTCCCGGGTAACGGTCTGGGAACGGTAACTTCCCACCCCTAGTCTTAAGTACCAAAGTTTTATAATTCTTAACTTAGTGCACAAATGACAGCTTTGCTTCTCATTTCGACACCCTCAATTAGTGCACTGAAAGCATATAAAGATAATAGTCTACGATTATGTTCACAATCAACACACGATGCAGTACATTTAAAGTAGAGACAATGCATCTTTGCCATAGACCGACATGATTAGTAAAACAAATTGTCGAGCTATTATCCATGATAATTAGTAGCATAATAAATGTAGTTTCTTGACTTAAAATACAAAACACTTTGATATCCTGATGCGACACAAGAAATTATAGAATCAAAGAACTTCTTTTTTTTTGCTAGATACAAAAAGGGTTCAGAACAAGAGTACAGTTTTTAATCCCAATCAAAATATGATCTTGATGACTTTGATAACGAACACGAAGATAGTTTTCATGCGTCGATTCACGGAAGAGTTTTAAGAAAAACTTTATTTTTTTTTTCTATTCATCAATAAATATGATTAACGAAACAGTCAATATACTTAAATTATTGTTGTACATTAAGTATAATTCTTGCAATGAAAAAAATGTCTAAGTGTATATTACTTTTTCTGATTTTCTGTAAGTTTCGCTTTGCTCTAATGAAATGACCCTTAATCCAAGCGCAAAACAATTATCAGTTGAAACAGTAGCAAAGAGTGCCGAAATAGAATCGAAAAAAAGGAAGAATAGAGTATATTGTTTTTATCTTGATTAGATTTTTGTATGACCTTATGCAATTTACTGAGCACAAAAGGCTATGATTAAAAATGAAGTTGATTTGAGTTAAAACCGAATCGGTCGTTATTAGAGAACGTTGCAACCAGACTTGAACGAAACTGATATTCAATAAATGGATTTGGAATTGTTTAAGTTGAATTCGATTGATTTTTCACCTTTATAAACTTGAAATGTTTCATATGTAAAGCATTTAAATGGTTTATGGGAAACATACAAAAGTCGTTTTGAAGAAAATACTGTAATGTATGATAGTGATTTCATCTTTTAGCATTCTTTGGGACAGTTTCTCATCAATGTTTTTGTACTGCGGCCAAACAGAGTGTAATGCAAGTGTAGACTTATAAATTATTCACAAGTACACTCAAAATTGCAACCACATCTACATCTTGTTTCGAAACAATATCTGATTTGAAACAGAAATGTAGCAAAGTTTAATTTAGATTACCGATTCTTTTTAAACTGACCTTTCCATCATTTGTTTAAATTTCATTACTTGACTTGAATTTTTTTCAAAAAAATATACTTTGAAAATGTAAAATGATTAAATATTTGCTACAATAGAATTGTCTGATGAAAAATGTGTTTGATTGTTTTATACAGAGTAAGAGTATTCTTTTTGAAGATCGAATCATAGTTTATCTTAATGTCTTTATTGCATAGGTACTCCCTAAAAATACATGTTGACTGCTCTCTATTTCTAACAGTATTATGATTGGTGTACTACAGTAATAGTAGAAAATGTTTAGGTGAATTATTTTTATTTTGTTTCATAATATGAGTTGTCATTATTTTTGAGATTTTCAATATTTCTTATCAAGAATGATTTGTCGTAAAAACTTCAGATGTTTTTGATGATCTGATTTCTAGTAAATCTGAAACAGGGATATTTAATTTCTAAATTGTCTATCGTTTACAATTCTTAAATTGAATTTTCGGGGTGGGTGGATGTGGGAATGTGGACGTCAATGAAAACATCTCTCACACCCACACCCACACCCACACCACACACCCAAATCCTAGACCCACTACTGTCAAGAAAAACGAATATTTATTTAATTGTCTCATGATTACCACCATAAGCGGATGTGTCCACCAGTGTCCATCACACAGTCAACAAGTAGTCTCTCTGATTGAAGTAGAGCCATTGTATCTTGAAATATAGGTGGAGTAACAAATAGGATCCGTAGCGAATGTAAATATGGAGTTTTGTCATTGTTTTTTGATAATAAAAATCGTAAAATTGTTTTCAAAGACTTTCTGTCTGCAAGCATGCAGAAATGTTCCAATCGTGGAAAAAGATTTACTAGTAATTCTATCAGTTCAAATGTACATTGAAATCCAATACTCACATCTTTAATTTTATTTGTAGTCGACACCATTTGAAAACTTTCACTTTGTTGAATTAAGTTTAAATCTATTTTTTCAAGTATTGGTAGATTAAATCTTAACATATGAATATTAGGCATGAAAGTTAATAATTCTATAACATCTTTCAAATCAAGATTAAACCAAATGATCTCGAGTTTAGTAATTTGTTTCAAAGGAAAAATACGATTAAAAATAATTGGAAGAACATATTCATTTTCTTGCAAAGGATTACATTTGAAAGTCAGTTGAGTAACATTTGAAAAATAATTTGTCCAATTAATTATTCTATTTTTATGTTGAAATTCAAGATGATGAACTGAATTCATATATCTTTGTTTAGTATGTGGAGCACTTCTTTTGGTTGGTTCTATAGCTAGTATGAAATGTCTTCTCCTTAAATTTAGAAATTATCTTTATTGTATAACCAAATCAATTCATACCTGTATGGATCTGTTGAATAAAAAAATACATCTGCAGTTACTCCAGTTTCATGAATATGATACGCAAAAAACCAATGTCGTTCAAAACAAAATAAAGATTCAAATTGATCAAATAGATCAGGATAAATCTCTCTATCTGTTGCGTTTATAATAACACGATGCTGAATATCAAAGATTCGTAAATATGGCATATGTGATAATATAAGGAATTGCCATCGATTCGCCACTAAATAAGCTATATCTCCATGTGTCAAAATATATAAAATTTGAACTTGATGAAAAATATTTTTTTTAATCAATATTTCAAAGTCATCAAAAGTAACATCTCCCAAATTTAAAGAAACATGTGTTAAGTGATTCAATACAATTGAACAAACATTCATTTGCATGTTACATGTAGATAGACTATCAATAGATAAACGATGAAGTTGAGGAACATATGATAGAAAAGCAAATAATTCATTTAGATTAATAGTATCTTTGATGACTAAATGTACAATGGGACTAACTTCATTCGTTGCAATAGGTAATTGTTCAGGTGGATGGGGTGCATGTCAGAGATGTCCATCGCGCCGCCGCCGCGCCGCTGCCGCTGCCGCGGTTGGCGGCGCGGCAGCGGCAGGTTTCTCAAAAATTCATCGCGGCAGTGACGCGGCAGCGGCAGGTTTCTCAAAAACTCATCGCGGCAGTGACGCGGCAGCGGCAAAGTTTTTAAAAACTCATCGCGGCAGTGGGGCGACAGCGACAGAATTTTTTTCGAGGACATTGGAAAACTGCATGAATTTGATAGAATTTCATTGTTTACAAAGGAAACACTCTGAGACTGAATGAATATGAGGAACTAGTACCAATATTTCTGGTCCCATATAGTTGCTGTAGTGAAATTCGAAACACTTTTTTGAAAACCATCGCGGCAGCGGTGCGGCAGTGGCAAGTTTATTACTCGTCGCGGCGCGGTAGCGCCGCGGCGACATTTTTTTATAGACTATCGCGGCGCGGCAGCGCCGCGGCGACATTTTTTTATAGACCATCGCGGCGCGGCAGCGCCGCGACGACTTTTTTTATAAACCGTCGCGGCGCGGCAGCGGCAGATTTTCAGCCGCGATGGACATCTCTGGTGCATGTATTGATAATTTACAATATTTTAGGGAAGATAAACGAAATATTTGTTTATAAAAGTTATTTCTATTTGGAACATAATTCTTACAAATAAGTACTAATGAAGATAGATGAGGTAGGAAGAATAAATCATTAAGAAAATTATCAAGATATTTTGATTGAATTTTATCAATAATAAGTATTTGAAGTTGAATTAATTTTGATATTAGAGAAAACGAGGAAAGGAATAAATCGACAATAAATAAATTTGATAAATAAAGTGATTGAATTTGATGTTGATAAGGAATAATCATATTTCTATAATAATATTCAAAATTTGATTTTGATAAAGATGAAAGATTGATTTTAATAGGAAGAGTTGAACTGATAAGAAGATTTCGAAAACGTGTATTAAGATTGAAGAAAATTTCATAAATATGAAAAAAATTCAGATATTCAAAAATTTCATAGATAACTTCATTAGAAAGATCTTCAAAATAAACGATAGTTGATAAACTAAAAGAAAGAAATTTAGTTTTGAAAGAATAGAATTACTTTTGTATTAACCTGTTTGAATCAAATGCTGTCACTATAAAAGATGAAATACAACATGATAGATATGAAAAACAACATTACCTTGTGATATATTGTTTATTTGCTCCATCTTGAAATAAAACTAAGAATGATCAATACTAACACAAAATGCTTTTGATTTATAAAGCAAAAAACAACGTATGCTCTGATTCTTTCTCAATGTGCAGAACAGACCACAAAGAATCTCTTTTTTCTGTTGATACAAGAACGATTATATACATTCTGACTCATAGAAAGTGAAGGAAGTAAATACAATGAGAACAAGTCGTCAGAAGTAAGCGAAACTTGAGTCAACCGTCCATAATGCATCCATGCTGCCTGTACTGCACAGAGAATTTTCAACAGATGTCCTCTGTAACCATACTGATTTTCATGATAATTCGTTTTTTTTATTATTATTTTAATTGATTAGCTAACAATGAGGTGTGTGGATGTGGGTGTGGGTATAGTTCTTTTATTTCACCCACACCCATGTCATCATAGAGTGTCAGTACATAAAAGTATATGGTGGTTTTAGAACAGATCTATAGGTTGCTAAATCGCATCGTTCACAACATAAGAAGCTTTACCGTGTTTCACATATTTAATCCCGCAGGGATTGCGCTGAAAGTTTTTTCATCTGTCAACAAAATATTTTAATAATTTTGACTATAGTAGAAAACAGTTCATAGATTCATTTCAATGTGTAAGAATGAGTTCATACGACAACAATTATATTACTAAACTCAATAATATCATTATTCTTCTTCTTAAATACCTTGTTCCAATATTTTATATTTTGGGTAACATTGGAAACATATTAAGTATCGTAATATTCTTGAAAAGATCGTGGAGAAAGCATATTTGTGTCTTTTATTTTATTATTTATATCCTTTTGAATGCATGCTACATTAATTCAACAATACTTTCGTCGATATTTATTCTTGTTTATCACGTTACAGTTCAAACAAGTAAAATTGTTTTATGTTGCATTTCTTTTTGCAACATTATCTCCTACTGTTCTTATTCTTGCATCCATTGATCGTGTATTAATTTCTTCTCAAAATATTCATACACGATTGTACAGTTCAAAACGATTAGCTTATTTTGCGATAAGTATAAGTACACTATTCTGTATTATATTCAATTTTCATATACTTATCAAAGTTAATATTCAACACTTGACTCCATCTCTCTCTATTTGTTATTATGATCTAACAAAATTCTATC